CTGACGGATTGGGGGTTGTGGGTGGGGGGGCGCCAGGAGAGGAAGGAGTCTAAGTCTGTCCCTGTTACTTTTAAAATTTTTGGTTAGATGTAGTTTTCATTTTAAAAAAGATTTATTGAGATATAATGCGTGTATCATGCAAGTCACCTATTTCAAATGTACTAATCAATGGTTTTTAGTATTTATAGGGTTGTTCAGCCATCACTGCAATTTTAGAACATATTTTACCAGTCCTCCACCCCTTCCCACCCCACCCCACCCCCCCAAAAAAGAAGGGAGGCCAGCAGGTGGCTTGGTCGTTAAGGTACTGGGTTCCCACATGGCTGACAGCTCGATTGGTGTCCCTGACCCAGTCACTTGAAAATCGCACTGGGCACATGTGTGTGAGTGCATGCTCAAAATCCACAGAGGGGAGTGGAGAAGGGATTGCAGCCTAGCGTCACGGTGATTTCTCACTTTCCCTCTTGTCTCTCTCCTGACAGAGCACGTGGCACCAGGCAAAAACCTTAAAAAAAGAAAACAAAAAACAACCTTATATCCTTTAGCCACCTCTCCTGATGCACTGTCCCCAGACTTTGACAACTACTAATGTGCTATCTCTGCAGTTAGTCCGCTCTGCACTTCATCTGAACGGAGTTGACAGTGTGTGGTCCCACGTGACTAATTTCTTTCATTAGGAAGTGTTTTTTAAGGCTCATATAATATAGCATGACTCAATACTTCATTTCTTTTTATGGAATATTATGAATCATTTTATACTGAATAATAAACATTTGGTTTATTCATCAGTTGATGGATATTTGTGTTGTTTCAAATTTTTGATGAAAAACGCCGCTATAAACATTTGTATACAGATTTCTGTGAGGAGATACGTTTTCATTTCTCTTCGATAAATACCTTGGAGTGGACTTGCTGGGTCAAATGGTGATTCCATATTTAACTTTTTTGGATCTGTCAGGCTTTTTCCCACCAATTTACCTTCTTATTTCTAATAGAAGGGTATGAGCCTTGTGTTTC